GTTGGGATTAAACTCTCTTTTTTTAGGTCTGAGAGGGGTCACTGTGTTAGTCTGTAATTTAAAAAACTTAAAAAATGAGCGGGCCTGTAGCACCTTAGGGTGCGTCTACACTGCACCGTAACTCAAAATAAGATATGCAATGTGAGCTATGCAAATTACGTATCTTATTTCGATGTGATTTTGAAATAGCATATTTTGTCATTTGGCACTGTCTACACAGGGCCAAATTTCGAAATAAAGTGCTATTCCGAAACGTCCCTTACTCTTCGCAGAAAGAGGTTTGCAGGGTTGTCGGAAGAGTGAGCCCGAAATAATGGGCTTGCGGTGAAGACGTGGGATAGACCACAACAACGGGCTCGCGGTGAAGATGAGGATATCACGGGATATCCGGTATTCCGAAAGAGAGTTGCAGTGTAGACGTACCCTTGGAGAGTAACAAAAAATAGATAGTGTTGTATCGTGACTTCTAAAGAGCTCAAAGGTGCAGATAGATATGTGTATGGTCACCAACAGGCAGGTTGTCTGTACCCCAATTAGCCCAAGTAATCAACAAAATAGGCACTGAACAAACTGGGTAGCACAGAAATCCTTCAGCCTCTCTCCCTCCCTCTTGTTTAAGCTGCGTATTACATCTAACACTGAGAGCCCTGGGGCATTGTCCAAAACCTACTGTGGTTAATGGATAGACTTGCATTCAACAGCCTTTGGATCAGCACTCAGTTAATCACCCCTCCCTCAAGTTACTAAACAGGCTGCGGTAAGACTCCCTGTGCTAAGCGGAACTGGGAATTAGCTGGCAGGGTCTGTGTAGTGTTGGAATCCCTGCACATGTCTGTGCATCTCGAATGACCCACTCACACCCTGCGCCCAGGTGCAGTCTCACTGTGAGCATCTCTCCAGCTGCGCTGTATGCTGGGCCATTCGCTAGCTGGCTCTCCCAAAATCTACCCTCCCGGCAAACAATGGAACTGCACCAGTGCTGCTCCCAAAGACAGGTCCAACGTCTGTGGAGGCAGGCGCAGGATTTACATTGAGAGCCGGCCTCTAAACCCAGTTTTACTGCTGTGATCACCCACACAGAGAGGTGGCAACAGGCTACTAGGGGCCGCACTTGGCCTCAAGGACTTGTTTCTGCATAGCAATGCTAATTGCTGTTACTTTTCTGCCATGCTAAGCTGCAAGCATATGACATTACCGTCAGTGAAGTGCAACCCAGACTGCATTGCTCAGTGCGCCCGTCCGGCCAAAGTTACATCATGCTGACACACCTCAGCGTGTCATGCATCCAATGAGAGAGTTTTGTACATTGCAAACCAGGAGAAGGTAACGTTTTTCTCTGCTTGTTATTATGGGTGGTGAGTATCAGAGGCAGGGGAAGGCATTGCCTTGCCAAACATGGCCTCACCTACACTTCACCCCCTCCCCCCCCCGCTTCAGTGTAGCACCTGAGCTGCTTCTGGGCTTCAGTCAAGCTGAGGTTGGGGCCCCGCACCTCCTGCCCTCACTGTACTCCAGGGCTTTGTCTACACTGGTGCGATCTTGCGCCAGAAATATACAAATGAGGCTAAGCGTGGAATATCGCCAAGCCTCATTTGCATAGCTAATGAGCTGCCATTTTTGCGGAAGAGGCTCTTGCGCAAGAAGGAGCGTCTACACTGCCCCTTCTTGTGCAAGAAAAAACCCTCTTGCGCAATGCCCTTATTCCTGAAAATAATCAGCGTAGCGGCATTGCGCAAGAGGGTTTTTCTTGCGCAAGAAGGGGCAGTGTAGATGCTCCTTCTGGTGCAAGAGCCTCTTCCACAAAAAAGGCGGCTCATTAGATATGCAAATGAGGCTCGGTGATATTCCACGCTTAGCCTCATTTGCATATTTCTGGCGCAAGATCGCGCCAGTGTAGACATAGCCCAGGATTGGGATGGCTCAGAGAGGGGCAGGGAGGGCTGCTCCTGCTCCTGCAGTGGGGAGGGGCTTGCAGGGGATCAGGGAGCTGGAGCCCTACCCGTGTGTGTGTTGGGGGGGGCTTGGTGCCTGAAGGCGACGGGGCCTTCAGTGGAAGATGCAGGGCTGGAAGGGTTGCCTCCTCAGCCCTAGGTTTACCCACAGTCCATGCTTGTTATACTTTACTTTCCCACCCTCAGCCATTATAATCGCGCCCTCTCTCGACTGCTTCAGTCTCCCAGCAGGGATGGATGAAGATTTTCAGCAGAGTCAAGGCAGCTCTCAAAAGTCATTTTCAGGAAAGGAACTCCCTCACTACCTGGAATTCTTCCTTAAGGAACAGTGTCAGCTGCAGCCCTGCCCTACCTACGTTTCTGCAAAGCCCTGCCTATCAAAAGAAATCACAAGAACACTCTCTAGACGTTATGCTTGTGAGCACACGAGCAGCGAACTGCAGAGATAATTTTAGCGCCATACGGAATGCTCCCTGCCACTTTGTCACTGACCCTGGCTGCATCACATCGTCAGTGCGCACCCACGTTTTTCCAGGCAAAGGCTGCGTGGGTGATCGTCTCATCTCAGATGCCATGGAGCAGAGCCCGAGTGGCACGCAAGCCCTGTTTCTGATGAACGAGCCCCCTCTTACCGACACAGTGAAAGAGAGTCCCCAGTGGTCTTCCAAGGACTGCCTGGAAAACCCTGGGATCGTGGGTATGGGTCACAGCACAGAATACTGTGAGGGTTCCATGCAGAGCTGTTGTCCGGGGATGCTGCTAGATCTTAAAAGCCAACTTGGCCCCTCTCCTTGGGCTGCAATTACAAGGTTGTGCCTAATTGGTCACCTCTGTGTTGCAACTGGGAGCACGTGTCCTCGTTCAGGCAGGCAGGCCATCCACATTCCACAGCGATGCTCTGGGCTAGCCTTAGCTCCCGCCCTTGTGGCCGCTGCTATTATTAGTGCAATAGCTAGAACAGAGCTACTCTGTTTCTGTCTACACATGTTGGGATGCATGCACCCAGCTGCAGTGTGGACATACTCTTCAGGTCCTTGGGCGGAGCGGCCGGTTTGGACTTGGCAATGGCTTACTCAATGGCATTGTCTTATTAATGAAAAATTAATTCTTTGGTTACTAGTCCTTATATCTGTATATTAACCTGACACCCCCAGATCTTATTTTCAGAATTTGCTTGACATGTTTTCCACACTAGATCATCATGACATAGGATCTTTCAAAAAGTTGGGTTACTTTCCATCTCCATTCCCCCCTCACTCCCCACAAAGTAGGGAATTTTTAAAGGATGTTCACTAAAATCCATCCAAATTAAAGTGAATTCTCCAAAGGGCTTTGGATTAGCCGCTAAGAGACCTCTGTCTCATTCTGTTCCCCTCACTTTCCATTCACTCATAAGATGAAAAATAATTCTATGGCCATGATGAGAGGAAACACATGGAACAAAAGCTACTGGGCCAATACACATTCCTGTGTTCTTCTGCCTAGCACTCAGAGCTACCTGCCGGCTGGGATTGTTTTGACAGTTCTGAATTTAGGACCAGCTTTGCAGCATGTTGTCTCTTGTGTTTTTCAGTGGACTTTGTTTCCCCCTTCCTTTGGAGGTGTCTGTCCCCAGTCAACACATGGATGCAGTTTGTAGTCCTCTAGTAAATATATCATTGTTCTATTTTTGACCATAACCCCAATATCTTATCCTGGAGAAGTGTGTGTGTGTTGCAAGGAAGATATTATGGTATATTCAAAAAAAAAGCATGAAGTATGTGCTTAAAGGGGAAGTAGACTTATTGGCTTCATTTGGATATATGGATTTCAGTGGGACTAATTACATGCTTAAAATTAGCATGTGCCTAAGTGCCTTCCTGAATTGAGGCCCACCAGAATAATACTCAGACTACAGAGCATGTTTCCACTTTGAGAGTGCAGGATGATTCTGATGGATGTTATTTGTAAAGTCACGTTCATATTCAAAATGCAGAAGTGATCCTGCACTGTATTAAGGGGCCAAGTTTTCAGTGTGCACAAACCTTAACTCTAATGATGACTTAAAAAAAAGGCACAGCCCAGTTTTTCCACTACATCAGATATATAAGGTACGTGCATTTAAACTTTCTGCCTTCAAATATTATACTTTATTTATAAAATCAGATACTGCAACTCATAAAACTCAAGAAAGCATACACAAGACAATTCAATGTGTTGATGTCCGCATTTTCCCATAGAGCTGCTTTTTGTGAGATGGGTTTCTCTCTTAAATGAGCACATTATGTGGTTGTCACTCAGTACTGAGTTATGTAATAGATACTATACTATTTAAACAGCAGTGTTTGAAAGCTAGTTGTATATTTGGAATAGCTGGCTGATGGTCTTGTAAATATATACAAAGCCAAGACACTTACCTGACCTGAAAGCCATTTCTCATGTTTAAATGCTATTATTATACAGAAGAAGAAAATCAGAACTAATGAAGCTAGTTTTTTGGTTCTAAAAATGTATCTCTGAGTTTTTGTGGCAGTCTAGTAGCCGGCACCCAAAGCCCATTGAAGTTAGTGGGGTTCTTTTTGTTCATTTCAACAGACTTTGGATAAGACTTTCAGGGAGTAGCTAAGATGAATGATAAAGTGATTATGGTATTTTATGCCAAATAACAGACCAAGGACATAGTTTATGATGACAGGAATGATGTGCCAGGTGAGAAAGAACCCTCTCCTAGAACCTTGACTGATGCGAAGAGGCGTATTCATTACCTGTCTGTTATAGTTGCACTATCAGGCTTAGACGAAATCAGTTGTGTGAAGGAATACTATTGTTTTCTTTCTGGACATTTACTGACTCCTGGGATACTCTTCCTGTATCATTCAAAAGTATAAAAGCTGAGTTGTGGCATGATCTTATATAAAATCTTGAGTTATAATGCCATAAATGTGGTGCTGATTTATCATTTGTTGCCATACCACTTGAACATTACTCCTGTGATGTCACATTGAGAAAAGAGAGAATGTTAGCTCCTCGGAACTCCTTAAAGGCATGAACATTCCGTGTAGTCTCGTGTTCACTGAAGGAATACATGAGTGCTCCTGCATGGCAATCCAACAAGCAGGAGCTATTAAAATATAATGTTCCTGCTGCTTTTATTTTGGTCGACGAATAAATAGATTCTGCAATCTGTTTCCAAAACAAGTGGCTTGTCTTGCTAGCCTTGCCATGTTATGTTGCATCTCTTACACATTAAAAGGTAAAAAATTATTTAGCCTGAATTGCTAAAATTTTCATTAGTGGCAATTTATGTCACTCAAAGAAACCTCCTTGGGAAGAACATGGCATGCTTGTACAAACCTATTATGAGAGTTGTCAGAAACATTTGTCCTTATAAAATATAAATAGACAGTATGTTAGATGATTTAGAGTGGGAGCTGTTATTTATTTAAAAACAACTCTGGCTTTTTTTCCCCTCATCTTTCAGCAAACCAGGTCATGTCGCTAAGATGCTGTGGTTCATAGACTAATGAAATGCATCTGTAACAATCACAACCAACATTTGATTCATTTCTTGAAGGGCCCTGAATTGATAAGCCAAAGAGGTACGGCAATCTCAACACAGAAGGGCGGGGTATTCAAAGACTTCAGTGGAGCTATGCCTGTTTATGCCATCTGGCTCAGAGTTCTCAAAGGTATGCAGATCAGCCTCCATTTCACTAGCCATGTTGCCATCTGTTTGAGGTAGGATCTGAGTGATGTCCATGGTTCCCTTGTGCTCTCCATGGAAGTTCTTTGGATAAGACAATAGAATCTGCAGTGTACCTTTGCTGATGAGACCCTTATGTGCCGGGGAACTGTAGCACCTGAGACGCTACAACTAAAGCCCCATCTTCCCTTTGCCCACAAATGTTGTAATGTTGCTTCCTCCTAAATCAGAAAATGTGTTTGTTCAGCAAGATGATTTCAGTGGGCTAGGGTCTTGAGGAGCAAATAAAGTCGATTCCCTTTGCTTTTTGAGATAATATTATAGCAGATCCTCACACAGAACTTCCAGGAGGATATGAAGCCACACTTCAAACATGCTGAGGTTTATATCCAGACTCCATGTCAGGTGGACATAAAATCCAGCCCAATATTTACTGGCCACATGGAGACACATGTTAGCGAGTGAAGTCTGCACAAGAGTCAGAGAGGTGGATAAATCCTTCAACTTTGTTAAATGTGGAATAAAAGGGAGAATAACTTGAATTAAATTCCTGTGCCCACTTGAAATGATGTCTGGCTGTGCTTCTGTACCTCTGCCTGATTTTTGCATGAAAATATTCTCTTTGTCCCTATCTGGTGCTCTCCTTCAAAAAGGAATCGAGGTGAAAAAGCAGGAAATAATATAAGATTTTTAAGCAAACAGTTCAATATTTCCTTTAAAATGTTCTCTGTATTCAAGAACGCTTTGATTTATATCTTTTTCCAGGCTTTGAAACTGTACTTCTTTTAAAAAAGACCATCCCTGATTTTGGTCTTTTGTTCCTTTATGAGCTTTGTCCCTGACTTTTTAATGTGGAGAGAGTTGAGAGACATGTTGTGAAAGGAGAGAAAATAAAATAAAAAAAATAGTAACAAAAACTTGCAAACTGTGTTAAATACACCTTTTGATCATTATGTTTCATATAAAGTTCACTATGAAGACTGGTATTGAATTGTACATTAATTTCAATGCTAAATAACTCTTCTATTTAAAAAAAATCTTAGTTTTCAAATAAAGTATGATAATTAAAAGTGAACCCAAAGAGGCAGCAATAAATCAATGTGCACAATGCAGTAAAATATTATAATTAATATTTAACTTACATTTTGATTACTTTTAGAATAAGTACAAGAAATATCAATTAGAGTATATATTCAAACTTTGCTGCCTTTTTCCCATTATACTGTGGAAAGGGGCTATTTTTAATTCTGGATATTGCATACAAAATAATACATGGTACCTAATTAAATATAAGGCTGCAATTCAATTGAGAGTTTCTGCTGATGTCATAAATAATAAGAGCACAGCTCGAGGTATCAATGAATGGCAGCCAAACCCTGAGATTGAATTACAACTTCAGCATTCAGTCTGTGGATCTGTATTGTTATTTGTAATAGATGGAAAATGATTATTATTATTTTTAAATACAGACAAAAAAGGAGGAAATTTGAATTCAAAATCTGTGACTAGGTAGTAAAAGATTAGAACTCATGTGATTATACAGAACACAGTCTATTGGAAATTGAAATGTACAAATGTGCCAGGGAGTAATTCCATATTATCAGTCTGTATTCTGTATGTGTATTTAAAGGGATGGTTTTGTCCATCTATGAGCCAAAAGTCCCATTTGTGGGTGCAGTTTTTACCCACAAAATGAACTGTGGGTATCAGACTAAAGAGTTGTTCCTTTAATGATCTGATTTGTGCCCACAATCTTGGTTGTTGAAAGTAATCAGATTTATACCCACAATTCATTTGTGGGCATAAAAATGAAGGCACACATTTTGCAGGTCATAATTGCCATAATTCACAAAGGGTACAGGCTACACAGCAGGGCTAAAGTCGAATTAAGCTACACAAATTAGCTACTTCAATTGAATACCTTAAGCCGAAATTGCTTATTTCAGCTTTTGGCGCTGTCTACGCAGAAAGAAGTTGAAGGAAGAACGCGCTTTCTTTGACTTCCCTTACGCCTCATGAAATGAGGGGTTACCATCAGTTGGAGTAAGGAGTCCTGCAGCGCGACATTATTTTGAAGTAAAGGCTTGTAGTTTAGATGCACACTATGTTATTTCGGAATAACGTCAGTTATTCTGAAATAACGCTATGTAGACATATCCAAAAGATGGTGCAGAACTAAAGTCCTGCAACCTGTCCCAAATAGGCTGAAGGGCATGGGCATTGGGTAGATAAGGTGGGGGAAAGCTTTGCCTTCACATACTGCCAGGAATAGCTCCACCCACATTCCATCCCCAGAATGCCAACAGCTGGAATGTTGCTGCCCCCAGCACCTGCCCTCCTGGTGCTCCAGGGCTAGGGAGGCCAGGCCTGACTATGTGGCACGCCCTCCTCCCTCTCCTGGTGCTCTGAGGCTGGGCTGGGCCAGGCCGCACAGTGCAGCACACCCTGCCTCCCCCTTCCCTGGTGCTTGAGAGGCTAGGCTGGGATTGGCTGGGCAGCATGGAGCAGTATGCCTTCCACTGGGGCTGGGAAGGCTGCAGTGAGTGTGCGCCCATTCCCACTCCCCTCCCCTCATCTCCCCTGCCCATGGTTTGAAGCTGAGAGCATGCACATGGCTTGCTGCCTGCCTCCCAGGGGTGGGGGAAAGGGCGGGGCTTAGCAGAAGGGGCAGGGCTGGAGGTGGGGCTGGGTGCTTGTCTCCCCCAGCCCTGCCTTCACCGACTGTCCGTGGAGTGGTGAACTTCCGCCAACTTGCACTTCATCTGCTTAAAAGCCAGTTACTTTTGAATTTCTTCCAGTGTGAATAAGCATTCTACATTCACAGGTACCTTTCCCATGGTGGACAGTACACATTTCTGATTATGAAATATCACTCCAGAAATTATGACTTTTACTCCCAAATAAGTGACCTTAACCAGAAATATTTTTATTTACCACAGTGGATTTTTGTAAATCAGTAAAGAGAAGGTACTTTATCACTATGAAGGCTTCCTTTCAACAAATTTGCTTTTGATACTCTATGGCAGGCCAATGAGCCATTTGGAACAACCCTTGGAAGGCCTAGGACAGCTGAGGTGGGGCCAAGGTGGAGTCACCCACTGACCATATACCTGTTGCCAGAGACAGAGCAGTTGGTTGGTGTGAGCATATGGAGAGGCACAAATTAGACTCTACATGGAAGAAAAAAAAAATCAGAGTTTTGCCATCTGAGAAACTGTTGCCCAGGATGTCACCGAAGCAAGTGCCTTGATGCTCAGAATGATCAGATTACAGTTGATGGGGATTTGCCACTCCAAAACCAACAGGAATGTCAAGGGAAAAGGAAAGTAAATTAACTAAAAAAAATTCTGGTTTATTCCAACAAGAAGAGACAGCCACACAACCCTAAATATATACAATTTATCTTCCTGTAAAACAGTGATTTATTTTCTATGTGGGGAAAGAAGATTACTGTTAGCTCTCTTTTTGGATGTTTTTGTACGAGATGGTGTTATTAGACCAATTTTACACGCTTTGCTCTCAAAACGCCTGTTTAACAAAATAATATTTGTGTTGAAAAGGAAGAAGCATCTGGATATTTTGCACGCCATTCATGCTGTGTTGAAATGATGGGGAAAAATTCTTGACTCTCCCATGTATGTGTGGGTACCACTGAAGTGCTCAAGGAAAAATGGATGATCCAGCCTACCTGATACCCAAATAGCTCTACAGAAAGTGGTTTGCTGTCATACCAGTTACCTAAAAATGTCTGACTGGACTTATACCGAGTATTTTCTGATCAGCAATTAATAGAACTGCCACAGCATGAAGGAGAACTTAAGAAGGTAGATCCAAGAAGAACAAAGAGGACAAAATGCAAAATTATACTGTGAACTTGCACGATCTTCTATTATATGAAAGACAACTCAATGTTCTGTCTCAAAGCACATGCATAGACTATGTTCTGCAGATGAAACAACCTCGCATAGATACAGCTGCTTCTATATAAGGGTACGTCTAAACTACATGGCTCCGTCGACGGAGCTATGTAGATTTGTTTGTTCGGGAAAGGGAAATGAAGCCGCGATTTAAATAATCACGGCTTCATTTAAATATAAATGGCTGCCCCGCTCTGCCAATCCGCTATTTGTCGGCAGATCGGGGCAGTCTGGACGCTCCCCTGCCAACATGAAAGCCCTTTATCGACCTCCCCAGTAAACCTCATCCTACGAGGCATAACGGGGAAGTCGATAAAGGGCTTTCAGGTCGGTGTGGGAGCGTCCAGACTAGTGCTCTGAGCCAACAAACAGCTGATCAGCTGTTCGTCGGCTCAGCGCCACAGCCATTTAAATTTAAATGAAGCCACGATTATTTAAATCACAGCTTCATTTCCCTTTGCCGATCAACCTAATCTACATGGCTCCATCGATGGAACCATGTAGTTTAGACACACCCTAAGTGACAAATAGCTTTTGATGGGACATATCCAACCCACTTAATTAGCCTCATTAACATGAGTTCTACAATTGACAGGTACTTCGTTTTCTGTTCTATATATCTCTTGGTTTCTGTAATTTCCATGCCAATTCATCTGATGAAGTGGATTTTACCACATATGTTGGTTAGTCTCTAAGGTGCCACAGGACCTCCCATTTTTAAAGTTACTGATTAACATGGTTACCCCCCAGAGATTCAGAAAGTGAGTAGTGACATAGCATAAGAAGCAGGTCAATCTCAATGTGAAATGCCTCTGGTTGTGTAGTGGAGTGAAGAAGCAAAGGTATAGATTTCCCTTGTTCTGAGAACAGAGGAGGCAGAGTAAACAGAGGACACCACTCTCTTCTTATCAAAAACACCTTTTCTTTTTTTTCTGCTGCCAGCATTAGGAATGAATTCCACTTTCTGTAGCCAACAAAGGGGCTAACAGGTACAGAAATGTATATTGATTAGATAGTTTGTCATAGGCTGTCTCATTAAAATTCTCTTGCGCTAATGATAACAGTTTTA